AAAAAAACAAGGGCGTGATAGTTTAGATCTGGAATGTTCCCCAAGGGCCTATGTATTGGAAGCTTGGACGCCAGTCCCTGGTGCTGTGGGGGATGGGGTGAACATTTAGAGGGTGAGGTTTACAGGAAAAAGAGTGAACTTTGAAGGTGAGAGCGGGCTCTCACCCTTTGCTCCAGCGCTTTGCTTCCTTCCCGGCTCCGTGAGTAAGCAGCTCCTGCACCACACTCGCTCTGTGCTGGGCCATCAAAGGCCAAAAGCAGCAGGACCACATGACCTGAAACCTAAGAAATCCTAAGCCCAAATAGACTTCCTCCTCCTAAGCTGATTATCTCAGACATTTGGTCACAGCTAACAGGTAAGTAAGCACTTTGATGGGGTCACATGGCTAGTTAGGGATTCAGGCTGGCATTATCATAGTTGTGATGTAGGGGAATGGAACTCCCAACCTGAAAGATACCTGGGCCAAGTTCATGTTCTCTAAAACCAAAGAATTAATTTAAGGCACAATGGAGGTTAGGAGCAAAATATATGTATGAGGGGGATCCCCTGTCAGAGAGAAGGACTGAAGGGGGAGCTGAGTGGGTTGCCCAGGAAATCTGCTATTTCTAGGGATTTCTACAGAGCAAAACCATGAGGTGAGCTGGGTCTAAGGTGGAGAACGGGGGACTTGCGCAAGAGGTGAGACAAAACTATGGTCAACTTGTTGTAGGCAGCTGAATTAGACAGAAATATTATAGGCCAGGGCCAGACAGGGCCAGGCCCTCAAGGAGACAAGATGGAAAACAAGGTGACTCTGCAACTTGGAAGAGACAGATGCTCCTATATGGGCCAGACCTCCAGACGAAGACACAAGAGAAAACACAGCTACATACTTCCCTAGGGATGGGCATCAGGGATTGATATTCTACATAGGTATCAGTCACCTTGAAAGAGCCCAATAGAGTCACTAGCCCAACCCCCAACAGGAGACCCTGTCCTGTATTCATGCCAACTTGCTAGCTGACTCACTTCCCCATTTGGTCCCGGGTTTGATTAATTTTACCTGCGCAATGGTACTTGTAATCTCTTTGGTTGACCATAGTTTTGTCCCACGTCATGCCCACCTAAATGACTTCCCATGTGTTCTCCACCACCTTAGACCCACCTCACCACATGGTTTTCCTTTATAAAAGTCCCTGGAAGAAACAGCTTCCTGAGGACCATCCGCTCGGTGCCCCCTCCTGTCCTTTGGGAGTTTTCTTTCCCCCAATAAATATACTCTGCTCTCTCCTCTCCGAGAGAGGGACGAGGGGGGGCCGGAGCCCGTTGTCTCCAGGAAGCTGTTTCTTCCAGGGACTTTTATAGAGGAAAACAATGCAATGAGGTGGGTCTAAGGTGATGAACACATGGGAACTCGCTTAGTTGGGCATGAGGTGGGACAAAGCTATGGTCAACCAAGGAGATTACAAGCACCATTGCTCAGGTAAAATTGATTAAATCCGGTACCAAATGGGGAAGCAAGTCACCTAGCAAGCGGGCAAGAATGTGGGACAGGGTCTCTTCCTGTTGGGAGTTGGGCTAGTGACTCAATTGGGCTCTTTCAAGGTGATTGATACCTATTTAGGATATCAATCCCTGATGCCCATCCCGAGGGAAGTATGTGGCTGTGTTTCCTCTTTTGGCCCATATGGGAGTGTCTGTCTCTTTCAAGTTATAAAGTCATCTTGTCTTCCATCTTGTCTTCTTGAGGGCCTGGCCCTGGCTAACCGCCTATAATATTTCTGTCTAATTTAGCTACCTACAACAGTTCCAGTTTGTTAAGGAAAGGGGCCTGCCCATTAGCTCACTTGTTTAAGTTCCTGCTTAAGCAAAGCAGTCAGGCTCAGGATACTGTGGTTAGATCACCAGATCCTCATGCCTTACCAGACCTGCCCTTAAGGCATCCTGAGCCAGCCACTACCCTTCACCCCCCCCCCCAAAAAAATAAAATCCTACAGTTTGTTAAGGAGAGGAACTGAACTGTAACGTGCAAGGTCGGTCTTCCTCGGGTCCTAGGAGGTTTCTGGGCTGAGAGTGTATGGTAGGACCCAGCCTTAATGCCCTGCTGTCTTTTCCAGTTCTCCTTTCCCCTTCATTTCCCACCCTGTCCTTGACCCAACTTCTTGGTGGAAGGACGGCATAGCGCACCAGTGATTCCCCTACTTCAGCGAGGCTTAGAGTTTCCCAGGAGAGCCTTTGGAAACAGACTCTCCATTTCTAATTGGAGCGTACTGTGCGTGTGTGTAGGAGTGGAGGGGAGGCTGCCCAGATTTTCCGTTTCTAATAGGGTCTTAGACGGTGTTTGACACCTGGTTCTTCTTGTATAGGAAGACGTGCAAATCAATGGGATTAAAAAATAAATTTAAAACTATTATTATTACACATGTGAGGTACACAATGATCACATTCAGCGTGGGGCGTTGGTGCATGAGCATATGTGTCTAAATTTTCCTTTTTACTTCTCCTCTCTTCTCTCTCCAGCGCTCGGTCGCCTTCAGCGATGGGCTCTTGACCCCACCTGGTGGGAAGGGTTACAGCCACCTAGCAGACGGTTCACTTTCTCCAAGACGTTTCTGGGCGTCCCCCGACGGCTGCCGAGAAGCTAGAGTCTTGGAGGAAAAGGAGCGGAGCCTCGCGTCCCAGCCCCGGGCCCAGAGGCCGCCCGGGGCCAGCCCCCAGAGCCTGGGCGGGCGCGGGCGGGAGGAGGCGCTCAGGCCGGCGACGCCCCTCGAGGAAGTCTGCCCTTTAATTCCGAGCGGGGATCCGCGGGCTCGGCCTTTGCGAGGCGACGGGCGTGCAGCGGGGACGTGCTACCCGGCAGCTCCGTGCGCTTGGCTCCGCGGTCATGGGCGGAGCGGCCTCCAGCCAGCTGGACGAGGGCAAGTGCGCCTACATCCGAGGTACGCGCGCCCCGCTGCGCCGCGGGGCTCAGGGATCGGGGCTCACCCTGGCGCCCGCGCTGTAGGCTGGGGGGCAGGCGCTGGGAGCTGGGGCCTGGGGGTCCCAGATGGGGCGCTTTGTGGGGCGCCGCAGGATCTTGGAACCGGCAGGTGCAGGATGCGGGGAGAGGCGATCTCGCTGTGCTCCACCCGCCCGGGCGTCCTTTCTTCTGCTCCCACCCGGAAACACCGGCTTCTACCTGGCTCGGGAATTAGTTCTGAGCTTTCTTTCTTTTTGATTGTTTGCAAAGAGAACAGCGGGGATATCCCTTGTTTCCAGAGCGTTCCCAGGGGATTCCCGCTCTAGAAAGCGGAATTTCCCTCCGTGTGGCGGTTGCAGAAGGAACCTGAGCTTCACTTGAACTCAGAGCACTTGCGGGACGTTTCATCAGACAGTGCCTCTACATTTCCAGGTTGTAAGGTTCCCGTCCCTCCCCAGCGCCCCGCGGTGTGGTGAGGGGAATCAAAAGAGGAACCCTGGTGTGTTTTGTAATAGTCATGAGGTCATGGATGGGGAGAAACTTGATTTTGGGAAATCAACGGAGACAGAGCTACTCAGTGAAGATTTAGAGGCAGAAGAAAAACATCAAATTGAACTGCAATTGCAGGAAGTCGTGACTCTTTATCTCTCAGTGGATTTCTAACCCGAAACTTACCCTCACCACCACCAAACATCTGGTTATCTTGTGCATTTAGTGTATGGTGGCTCCCCGCCCCCATACTCCTTGCTGGTTTCAGAAAATACCTCTTAAATCAGATATTAAGCTAGTCTAATTCTTTTTTTTTTCTTCTTTTTTTCGGAACCGGGGATTGAACTCAGACCCTTGCGCTTGCCAGGGAAGCACGCATTCCACGGAGCCACCTCCCCGGCCCTAGTTAGTCTAATTCGTGAAAAGAAATAGTTAAAATATCCCTAGTACATCTTTGAAGATCTTAGATTTTTGTATTTTAGGGAAGGGTCTACAGGGTGTTCAGGGTCTCATTACTAGATCGGACTCATAGTGATCCACCTGTTTACAGCCTCCCAAGAGCTGGGTTTACAGGCCTGTGCTCCATCAGGCCCAGTCTCAATTACCATGTCAGCGTGCCCCAGGGGCACGGCAGGCCTGGGAATGGAACCCCTGGTCATTGAACCCCTGGTCCCTGCGCCTGCTTGCAGGCACTTTAATCCTTTGAGCTATTTGGCCAGCCCTAGACTTAAATCTTAAGAGGCAATGTTTATTTGGTGCCTTTAGTCTATATTTGCTTTCAGTCATTACAATATTTAAAACTTTGAGAAGGATGTTAAGTCAAGGTGCTGGAAGGCATTGTACTGTAATTGATTTTCCACATTTCTGCTTTTGTCCCTCTGAAGGTGGATGGTCATCAGTAACCCATGCCGGCAGGGGATAGAATTTGGATACATAACCACTTGCTGTTGTTTTTTAAAAGGAGAAAAAGATGGATGTTTTATTTAGCTAACCAAGTCTGCCTTTGTTTCAAGAATTTGGCTGTAAGGATGTTTCCCCAGCATAAAGGGTTGAGAGACGAAGCAGAACATGATCAGAAAGGGTTTGTATAGGGTTCTTAGCAAAATTACTTATCACATTTGTAAGTCTTTGTTTTACTGGCCAATGTAGGAACACCTAAGGTGGAAGGAAACCATTTATAGTAATCATTTGAAGTTCAGCAATGTGAGGGATTAACTTGGCTTGAAGTCTTCAAGGTCATGACAGTTGTTATGACTGAGGCAAGTTTTATAGTCCTGCAAGAAAAAGTATTTTGTTTTTTATTCTGAAACCATATCACAGTACTACCTATACAAAAGTACAAGGTAGACACATGGAAGACTTCACGAAGGCATTTGAGTGACTAAAATTAGAGCTGTTTGTGTGCCACGTGTTGCAGCCCCCAGACTTGTTTACATTTGTCTCCTGTCTATATTTGGAAGGAGGGCACTTTTTAGGTCTGTGTCAGGAGAGGGAAGAGAAGAGTTAAAGTTAAAATACCTCCAGAAAAAATGAGACATTGCTTCATGTGAGAGCAGAGACCTTGCCAAAAGAGAGAAGAACCTTGGAAAAACGCATGGTGTTGTGAATTGTTCGTGCATGAGCAAATGACAATCATGAGACTGACTTCTTGGTGGTGTGAAGCCTCAGGTTCCTAAATAAAACTGTAACCCTGCCTTTACAAACCCTGTGTTCCTCTTTTAATCTCTACATATTCTCAAGTTTTAATTGTAGCAAAATAATTGGAGGTGTGATGGTGTAGTTTAAACTCAGTTTTTTGATCTGTTTCTCATAAGTGAAATATGGGTTCAAAAACTCCTGGAACAGCGGCAATAACTTTCTTTTGTGTTTCATGTATTTTGCTAACTTGGAAAATAACTAGTGTATAAATTTGGAGTTTGTAAAGCTTTACTTTGGATGTTTTTTAAGCAGCCATATTTCCAGAATGTTAATGACTCAATCAAGACTTACTTTTGGATGAATCATTTAACAGCCACCATTTGGTTTATATGCCTCAAAATTTTGTGTTAATCATGATCTGTGTCATGTGGGTGTTTTGAGAATATACTCTTTTGGTGTGTCATCAGTCTGTACGTAAAGAAATATGTGCTATGGAGTGACTGAGTTAATGTTTCTCTTTGCTGAGACAAAACACCTGACACCCAAAATTAAAGGTGGCGTGGCTTGTTTAGCTCACCTTTTGTAGTTGTTTCAGTTGAGAATTGGCTGGCTCCAGTTCAGGGTAGGTTCAAAGAGAAGAGTTTGTGGAGGCTAGATGGTAATGAAACAGAGCAAGAAGCTTTAAGGTCTTTCTAAGACTTCATGAAACTTTGGGAGGGGCAGCTAGACACAAACCATAACATTTGCCCTGGTGCCCCAAAGACTCATACATTCCTTTATGAAAAAGACACTTAGTCTATCTCTAAGGTTGCCAAAGTGCTAACAGTTATTGCTGAAAAGTCTGTCTCAAGTCTACTCTGAGATTTAAGGCAGACTCTTAGCTGTGAGCCTATCTGTACAAATGAAAAAACATTAAACACTTCTAACGCTCAATGGTACAAGATAAACATTTCCATCCCAGAAGTTACAGTGGGAACACAGCAAGACCATAATCCAGCAGGGCAAACATCAAGTCCCACAGCTCCACTTCAGCCCTGGCACCCTTTGGCAGGATGTGAACTCCAGAGGGCTTGGTTGGCTGTACTCCAGGGGTACTTCTGGTGGTTATAGCTCCTGTGGCTCCTCTTTTGAGCTGGCTCTGCTCCTTCCTTGCAGTGTTCCTCAAGACCATCCATGTTTCTGGAGTTTCCTTTGGCTTCACACTCACAGTTTTACACACTGATCTCTCAGGGGCACACTGCTGACCTCTCAGGTCTTCTCAGATCTGAGTGGGAGGCTTCCAGGCCCAAAACTCTCAAATTCTGCATGCACCTAAGACCACGTGGATGACGCCAGGGTCTGCCACCAGCTGGAACAATGTCCAAGCTTTCTTTTTTCTTTTTTCAAAATATATTTGGTTGTTGCAGGGTCTCACTACACAGGTTGGTGATCCTCCTGCTTTCAGCCTCCCCAGAGCTGAGATTACAGATGTGCACCATACCCAGACTCTGGCTGACTAAGCCCACCCTGGGGGGGAAGAGGGGCTGAACCACGTTCCCTGCACTTGCCTAAACTTGCCTAAGTAGCCACGTTAGTCCCCTGAGCTATCTCGCCAGCCCCTAGCCAAGTTTTCTTTTCTCTTGGTTGTAGGAATTAAATGTTGTCTGGCTCACTGATCACTCTGAGAGCAGTCCTGAGGAACAAATTCTTTAGGCTGTCACTTCTGAAACATGATACCTTGGGGCTCTTCTCAGAGCAGTCTTTCACTTTTGCAATTTTGAGGCTGCAGAGTTCTGCTGCTTCTTGTGATGCCCTCAGGCCACATTTTCTACTCTCCTGTTGTTAGCAGTCAAGATCTCCTCTGCTCTATTTTTGCAGTGTGTGGCTTTACTGGAGCTTCCTTTCTGGCCAAACTCAAAAACATTTTAAATCATTCTAGAGGGTCTTTTGCGCTTAATTCTCAACATAAATCTGGCTAAAAACTCCCAACAGTAGCCTTGCCACTCACTCAAATTTCAACTGCTTTGAAGTTTCTTATGCCAGATTAATTAGTCCACTGCCCTAAATCTCAGGCAAAGTCTCTAGACAGGAGCAGAATTGTGCCAAGGTGTAACACATTTCCTAGAGTCTAATAACCAGTGCAGTCCTTCTTGCCAGCAGAGACCTCCCGAACCTGGTCTTTACCAATAGAATTTCTGTCAGCCTTCTGGTCCTCTGAGCTCTGACCAGAACCTCCCATCAAGTACTGCCTATGGCGTTTCAGCTGCACTTTTTCAGCTGGCAATCTTGAACCTTTCCAAACTCTTTCCTCAAGCCATTCCCAAAGGCTTCTTAACCGCATGGTCAGATACAGCCACAGCAATGACCCCACTTCTGTGGTACCAAATTCTGTCTTAGTCATTTTTCTTGTTGCTGGAACAAAATACCCAACATGGAAAGTTAAAGGGGGGAGGGTTTATTTTTTTATTTATGTATTTATGGATTTATTTTTTTGGGGGAGGGTTTATTTAACTCAGAATTTGTAGACATTTCAGTCCAGATACTGCTGGCTCCAAGGCAGGATGGCTCTGTAGAGGAGAACAATTCATGGTGACCAGAAGGTAGTGGTACAAATAAGAGGCCTGAATATTTTTCTGCTTCTTTGATACTTATCTAGGCTCTGGGATTAGAGCATTGCCAAAGCAATCACTGGACTCATGGGGTGATCACATGCCCTCTGTCCCAGCATCACATGTCCTAGGTATAGTCATCTCTGAAAGAACCCCATCGAAGACTGCATGAGAGTGTGTTGGGGTGGCATTGACACACAGACTAATAAGGAATTACTTAGTTTTTTGTTTTTTTTTTAATATTTATTTTGTGTGTGTGTGTAGC